CCGAATTACTCATTCCATACCCGTACATCAAGCAGTCCATCAATGATCTCCGATCGACAGTATGATACAGGCTGTAAGAAATTTGCGACAACAGTAGTGGACCATACGCCGATCCACGTTCGTAAAAAGATAGGTTTTGGGCGATCAGTGGAAATAAGAGTCTGATTCGTTGGGCCTCATAAGCTACCCCACCTTCGAATCGATCGCGACTCAATAGTGCCGCCACTCAACCAGATATCAAGAATGTATTGTGGGTTAACATAGATTATCCCTGTCGCATAATTTCCGTTTTCCCATGATTAGAAATCATATACCGGGGTACGCGATTCGGCTCGGTCTCGACCGAGTGGCACGCGTTAAGTCCGTCACTGTTGACCTTCCCTAATGGGTTTAGCATTTATCGTTCTTTCTGTTGTCGCAAAGGCCGCGGTTCCCTTAATCTCTAAGCTGGCTGTATTTACTCGCCGTCAGCCGAGGAAATCCTATCAGTTTCTGACGGCGAGTGAATCCTATCACTTTGGCATGCATAGCGGTTCTCTGTGAAAATGTGAAAACGTGCTATGAGTCTTGGGTTAACAGTGTATACTACTAGTCTAATCTTCTTCGCTATTTCTGTCCTAGCTGATACATACGCATGATTGGGGTTGAAGAAGAACGAGAATGTTTGCTACTATCACAGGCGGGAGGTACAATGTAGTCCTCGGGTTCTCTCCACCGTTCCAAACTTGGGCCGGTTAACCGTCTATGGTCCAAAAGAGCTCAAACGGACCGTTCAAGACCCGTAAGATGTGAGTCTATTGGAAGTCCAAGGAAACTCTAGTTGAAGACTGACCATTGACATAGAGATTTATATACAAAGCACACCTCCGTTGCTCGAATAAGCTTCCTACTGCTTCTGTCAAATCCATCTCCTCGTTACTCCGATCAAGACACAACTTAGTGCCTGTCTTTATTCTGATAGAATGGATTCCTCGGTAGGCTTACTAACCCCCCTTTCAAGCTCCATCTAACTCCAAGATAGGAATATCTTCGACTCCTCGCGAGGCTCGACAGTCGGGCAGTCCGGGCAGAACGAGCCCAGACCAAACTTGAACAAGAACTGAGCGCCTCCAGGGCTGCCGAGAAGCAAGCGACAGAGGAGGTGGGCCATGTGTCCAGATTAGCGGATATCTTCTTTGAGCTCAGTCAAATTCTGGGGGGCGTGGTAGATCATTGGCTGAAGGAGCGCGGAACCAAAGAACCCGGCCAAGAGCCGGAGTCAACAAAGGTAATGCTTGATGTGTTGTTAAAACAGTTGGAAGCACAGAAGTTAGCCAATAGCGGTGAAAATTCCGGTGATGACTCGGAAAGTGGTGGCACAAAGGCTGCGGCATAGTGCAGCTAAATCATCGCTAGACGATAGCTTACCGTGCATCGTTCCTTGTTCATGTACATTGGTTTGTTTGCGAAATGACTGGGATTGTTTACGGCCTGTTTGCGTGCAGAGATGTCGTAATATTCTTTTTTATCTACATTGCTATGGCCGTTGAAACGGATCCGTTTCTACATCTGCCCATATGTGTGCCGTCGTATTCTTAGTTCAGTTTACAACACCTCTTTTCTTGAAGCCGCCACGGTTACATTCCAATTTGTTCTGACTATGAAAACCAACAGATTTTCCGTCGTGCTCAGAAGCTGACGCGTGAGCTTCAACATGTTCTGGAAGACGATCCTTCCAAGTATACCATCACAGATTCGCTACCCCAAACTCAATCTGCCGCCAGACTGGAAGCTGCATTCGAATGGGACCGCATTCGACGATCGGCAGCTCCATCGCCAGAGTTAATTTCCAAGGAATTCCAGAAGCAGAAGATGCAACCAGACAGCTCTGAGCTCGGTATGCAAGTCCAATATGAATATTTCTCTCACATCAATACTGAACCATATAGCAGAGGGCTATTAATGAGAAGGTGAAGGGGCTGCTCCTCAATAAGCCAGAAGACATGCCGGGTCGTTGGCAGGACGCTAGAACCCGGGAGAGAAAAAAGGCAAAATAGGGGCAGCAGAGTGGAGGAAGTCATGGTTTGTTTTCGTTCATAGCTGGCGGCCCTGCTGGGAAATAATAAGACATTGTCAGGCCGAATGGTTATAGTGAAAAGTTCTGTCAGAAACGAACCTTCAAGGCCTCGACGTACCGGCCGCTGCCATTCAGACTGCATGGGGAGTGTGTTTATCGAAAGGTTGTTGTCTGTTTCTTGTGGCGTGTGAAAACAGATGATCAAAAGGTATACGCTGGCCGTTTGTGCCTACTTTGTAGGACATGCTAGTCGGCCAGCCGTGTGCCAGTGAAACAGACTGGTGGTACCCATCTTGCTGAGTTTGAGTGGCTTCCTCTAGTTGACTAGCCTGGGCGTGTAACCGGTCCATCCATCTTTGAGCGCATTTTTTAGATCGTGAAGGATAATTCCTGCATTCTGCGCATAGCATGTACCTTGCGGCCTTTGAGAGTCTCATTGCAGGTGAATGACCGGTAGGGAGATCTTGGAACATCTTGAGGCATATCGCTCCATCTATCCGTGAATCCTTGGACACAGGATTTTGACAACGGACTCCATTATCTTCAACCCATCGGCACTCTAAATGATGAGTGGGATCGCCAATAATTTGGCCGAGGATTGACTGAAGATAGTCAGAGCTCCAGTCCATATTAGTGGATAGTACAAGAGGATGTGCAGAAAATCAAAGGAAGATATCAAGCCGGAGACAGTGAGGAATCTTCGTAAATCTTCAGGGGTACATTCTTCATATTAATAAAGCGCTCCCGAATGGACAGTGGAATCTCTCGTGGACCGGACGGTCCAAGCGTCTAGTGAAATCGAA